GAGAGGAGGAAAGAAAGAAAGAAAGAAAGAGAGAGACAGAGAGAAGGAGGGAGGGAGGGAGGAAGGAAGGAAAAAAGCTCCATCTCAAAAAAGAAAAAGAAAGAAAGAGAGAGAGAGAAGGAAGGAAGGAAGGAAGGAAGGAAGGAAGGAAGGAAGGAAGGAAAAGAAAAGAAAGAGAAAGAGAAAGGAAGGAGTTTCCAACAACCAGAAAGTAAAGTTCTCAAAATTAGAATACCAAGAAAAATGAGTACGCTTGCTACAGTTCTACAAATGTTCCTCTTCCTGAAATTCAGGGTACAAAAGTAAGTGCACGGCTTTTCCTTCTCCATCACATCAAGAGGCTTCAGCTTGTACAAAGAATGTTACTTCCTTAAAGGACAATGTCCTGGTAATGTCTAAATTACTTATACTGAGTCAACTTCATGCTGGAAGCAAATTACATTTTAGCAAGAATTTGAATGCAGTGTCAAAACTTCATCTTCTGGATTTGTGAGTGGCATGGAACTGGGCCTGGGAATGAGGGGAAATGTCCATGTTTTACTGAGGCTTTGAAGAATTCAAGAAGAGAAATTAAAAGAAAATACTTTGGTAATCATTGTTCAACAAAGTCCAAATGTCTCCATTAGTAGTTTCAAGAGAAAACATGGGATTTTGGAAAAAGAGATGCTAGGATGAATTGAGTCCAAGGTACTCACCCGTTCCTATCACAGGACACAACTCCCCAGAGGTCCAAGCCATCCCTTGTTAAGGTGCCTGTCTAAACAGAAACAAATACTCCGTTTACTCTGAAGATCCAGGCCAGGGGCAGTGGCTCTTGCCTGTAATCGCAGCACTAGGGATGCTGAGGCAGGAGGATCACTTGAGCTTAGGAGTTTGAGACCAGCCTGGGCAACATAGCGAGACTGCCTCCCTACTTAAAAAAAAAAAAAAATTACAGTGGTCCCATAGTGAAGACACCATAGTGTAGACAAATAATGTCTTTTTTAATGGGAAAATACTTCACGAACATATTAACAGGATCAACACTTCAAGGAGGTGCACCATGGGCGGGTCTCTAGAGTGCCTGGTGGAAGCGTCGATGAGCTCATGCCAGTTGTCTGACAAGCTGGCACTTAATCTTTTTGAACTTTCCTGTCCCCCATAACAACAATAACAACAACAAAAGCAGCGTCTTCCTTACAACTTCAGAGGATTGTTTTCAGGCTCTAATGGTAGACTGAATGGATGGGAAAGTCCTTGATAAGCCTATAAGAGCTATAAAATGGAAGAGTCCTAGTTTCATAGCAGAAATTTAAAATATGTCATTAAAATAAATAATAGAGTAGAATTTTCACCTACAGGGTACTGTGTGTGACAAGACTTGAAAGAAATGGCTTGCTATTTGATACCTATTTGGTTAAAAAAAAAAAAAGGTGTTGGTATTTCTCTCAGTGCAATATAATGGTTAAGAGTTCAGGTTAGGTTTAAACACCAGCTGTCTGATGAGAGCAAATCACTCAATTCCTTTAAAGATCAGAACCCTTATCTGTAACATGGTCATAATCTCAGAGAGTTGCGGTGAAGATTAAATGGGATAACATAAAGTGTTTTATTTAATATCTAGCATACAGTAAGAGCTAATAATAATCATAATTACTTATAATTATTACTCATTTTTTATTCAAATTCAGGTCACAATGATCTCTCCCATCCTGTTTCTCTTTCCAAGTCCAAGGATATAATCTCATAAATAGAATGCCATTTCTTACATTGCTAGTTTGATCACAAAATAATACAAAAATGGTAGCAACAGTCATGTTGACTTTCTGTTCTTGGTAGATCTTTCTGATATTCCAAAAATTATAGAATACAGCCCTGATCCCACTAATTCTCAACTATCAAAACCTTGTACTGTCGTATGAATGTAGTTTCAGTTTGGGAAAATATAAGAAGTTCTCAAAATGAATAGTAGTGATGGTTACAGAACAGTGAGAATGTACTTAATGCCAGCAAACAGTGTACTTAAAAATGGTTAAAATGGTAAATTTTATGTTATGTATATTTTACCACATTTAAAAAGTGAATTAAAAAAAAGTCAACAATAGCAACAAAAGCTTCAATAACTCTCCACTCCTTAAAATATATGTAAACAATTTCTTAGCCAGACAGTCAAGGTCCACAGATAGCCTCTCCCATTACCAACATCCTGCTCTAGTGAAAACCATACTGTTTTCCTCTCCTAACTCCATGCTTTGACTCATGCTCACCTTCTCACAATGCCCGGAAAGGCATTTCCATCGTATCCTCTTACAACTCCCACCTTCACCCTAGCATATGTGTGTTAAGAGTAAATAAATACAATAAAGAGACAGTAGACTAAGAGGCTGGTTGCAAATAACTGACAAATAATCAAGGGTAATTTTAAGCAATAAACTACAAATGGGAAAATATAGTAGAAGTTTGGTAGGAGTCTCATAGTAAGGCGCAGTTTTATAAACTCTTCCTTTTGTATTTGTTCATTCAATCATATTTGTTGCACACTAACTATATGCCAGGCAATATTCTTAGCATCCAGGATACAGCAGTGATAGTAAAGGTTTTAAATTTTGTTCTTTGTATGAAGGCTTTGACTGCAGAGAAACAGGATGTTATTTTAATTGCTTTCACAAAATATTAAAGCTGGAAGGACCCAAAAAGATTCTCCTATTTAGTACCCATTTATCCTCTAAACCTTAGACTCTGTGAGCTCAAGAGACATATCTTTCCCAGATCATGCATCTAACCAGGGATAAAATGAAGACAGGTACCCACACTCTATGTCCCCTGCCTTGCAAGAGGGTAAAAGTACATACACATGATGACAGCGATGGTAAAAATGATGAGAAGAATAAAGATGAAACACACATACCTTGTCAAAGCAAACAAGGTTTAACTGTCCACATACATTGATCCTCTGGGGGCTAATGCAGAAGATGCCTCTCTTCTTCAGCCTCCTCTGGGCATAGATAATGCCTGTGGTCAGAGCAGCAGGTAGAGCAGGAGGAACCGCAATTGTGATGACGTCAAGGGCTTTCTTCATCACCTCCTCTGGAGGTTCCTGGACAACAGTAATTCTTTCATTGTTAGAGGCAAATCACTAGTGAACAGCATATGACTCTTTTCCTTCTTTTTGTTTACTTCCTTAGGTCAAATTTCAAGAAATGATGTCAGTGAGTTAAAGGCATGACCATGTTTATACCTCTCAATATCTTTTGCCAAATAGCAATTTCAAAAAGCATGTGATTTATATTGTTACTAACAGAGAATAACATACTAGTCTGTCATGACCTCACCAAAACTGGGTATCTGATTTTATTTAAAATCCCTCACTCAATACCTATAAAAAGGCTACTTTATTGAAATAAATATATTCTCAGATATTCTCAGGTTAAGATGGTAAGAAATGGCATTCTATTTATGAGATTATATCCTTGGACTTGGAAAAAGAAGCAGGAGTGGAAGAGATCATTGTGACCTGAATTTGAATAAAAAATGAGCAATAATTATAAGTAACTCATTATTATTAGCTTTTACTGTATGCTAGACATTAAATGAAACACTTTATGTTATCCCATTTAATCTTTACCACAATTTTCTGAGATTATGAGCATGTTACAGACAACAGCTCTGATATTAGGAGGGATTAATTAATTTGCTCTGGTCACACAACTGGTATTTAAACTTAACCTGAACTCTTAGCCATCATATCGCACTGAGAATATCTGAGAATAAATATATTTTCAGATTGAAAAAGAAAAATGGTATAAAGTGTGAGAAAAGAGAAGTATATTGATATATCAATAAATAAACTGTTTTATCCCAATATCCCATGAAATCTGTTTGTTATTAAGGAACTTAGTGATCAATTGCTTATTGGGATCTGGAAATCTATATACAGGTTTCAGTTCTTGGCTTTATTTCCCAGGTTTGTAAACCACATCCTAGATTAAGGCCAACAGGTACAGTACAAAACATATATAGATGAGTATGTATGAATTTAGTAAAAGAGCAAAGACAGCTTACCCCGCTAAGCACATAGACACACAGAGTATAGATCATCCCAATGGTGGCTGTTCCTACAAGGCACAGGAGGAATCTGATAGCGTCCCTGTACAACTTAAAATTCATTGGCTTGGGGTAGAGAATGGATCTCACAAGGTCTCCCTTTGCCGTGTTGAATCCTGGAACAACAAACACACATCCCACACTCTCAGGATGACCAATACTACTGCTAGTGGTCTTCCAAACCTCAGAGCCCAGTACTCTCTCTGGCCTTCCTTCCCTCTACTTCCCATTTCAATGAGTCCCAGAGATAGGAAACCACCATACTGGGTGCTCCGCACAGCTTTGCCAAATATAATTTTATTTTAGGAAAATGACTCAAATGCGTGCACACACAGGCATGTCACTTGAATTAAAATTAAGGGGTCTAGTAAATACTGATGGACTCACTTTTCTAATACTTGCAAGTTTAAATTTTCAGTTTCTAGCCCAGCCTAGAAAGAACTTGGGATTCAGGATTAGAAGCCCTGAGTTCTAGGTCCAGCTCTGTCTATTGCTGGCCATGGTATTTTTAAAAGTTCATTTGAATTGTGTGGCCTCAGCCTTTTCATGGACACAGTAGAAACAGTAAGCATCTCTGCTCTGCTTGTTTGACATGTTGAAAAAGTTTATATACTGCAAAGCACATATATAATAATTATTGTTACCTATACTATCATTTTTACTAACAGGCATATGCTGTAGTTCAATTAATACTGAAAAAATATGGATTTATACATATTTGGTTTGTTTTGTACTGGTAAGTAATACTTCTCCTTACTTGTGGGTACAAAAAAAAAAAAAAAAAAAAAAAACATAGAAAGAATGATAAGACCGAGTATTTGATAGCACAAAGGGTGACTACAGTCAATAATAACTTAGTTGCATATTTTTAAATAACTTAAAAGGTATAATTGGATTGTTTGTAACTCAAAGAATAAAGGCTTGAGGGGACAGATACTCCATTCTCCATAATACGTTTATTTCACATTGCAGACCTGTGTCAAAACATCTCATGTACCCCATAAATATATACAGCTTACTATATACCCACAAAAAATAAAAATAAAAAAATAGGATTATAAAGAAAAAAAAGCTTCTCCTAAGCTAATAAATTTAAGGCACTAGACAAACTGGGCAAAAACATATCATTAAAAATAACACATAGGAGGCGATGCTAACCAGTCTGCAGCACCACTGCTCTCACGGTCCCAGAGCAAGCTGCCTTGGCCTGGATAACCTCTGTTCCACAGAAGAGAACATGCCGTTTGTAATCCGCTTCACTCTGCGTTTTCCAGGGCACAGAGCTGTCCATCTTGGGTAACGGAGTTTTGGTGACTGGAATACTTTCTCCTACAGAAAACAAGCATCTCGTTTTGTGAGGTAGGATGCCTTCCCTCATTTAAATCATGCCTGCACCCACTCATCATACAACAGACATTTTTTTGGGAGCCTACCATGCGGCAGAGACAACCCTAGGTATTCGGGATACAAGCATAAACGTAGTTCTTATTTTTGAGAGGTCTGTAGTTTAGAGTAGGAGATGGATATGTAAACAAATAAGTATAATACAGTATTATAAATACGATGGATACTGTAAATCAAACATGGGATGTCAAAACAGCTGGAAATAACTATTTAGGGAACCACAATAGTGCAGTCCAGAATGTGGAGTGTGGAGAATAAAGGGCCATGAGAGCTATGTAGCAGCCAAAGCATGGAGAGTCCTGAGTGCCCACACATATATCTAAAGGCACTGGTGACTGAAGGAGGATGCGGAGAGATTCAACCACTTTAATCATGAGAGTAATATCATATTTATGTATAGAGAGAACACTCTGGCCACAGCACAGGGAATGAATCAAAGTTGGGTGAGGCTGGAGGCTGGATATCCAATTGGGAAATAATCACAGGAATCCCAGTTGCAAGGGATGAGGTCTGAACTATGACAGCTGGCAGTGGGGATAGAAAGGAAGCACTGCATTCAGGAAACAGGAAGTGGGGCTGGGTGCAGTGGCTCACACCTTTAATCCCAGTGCTTTGGGAGGCAGAGGCAGGCAGATCGCTTGAGCCCAGAAGTTCAAGACCAGCCTGGACAACATGGCAAAACCCTGTCTGTTCTAAAAATACAGAACTAGCCAAGTGTGGTGGCATGTGCCTATCACCTTAGCTACTCTGGAGGCTGAAGCATGAGAATTACTTGAGCCTGGCAGGTGGAGGTTGCAGAAATCACACCAGTGCACTGCAACCTGGACAACAGAGTGACACTCTGTCTCAGAAAAGGAAAAAAAGGAATTAAGAAGCTACAAAATTTGAGAGAATGTTTGTATTGGCAGGTCACAGAGATAGAGAAATTTACAATGCCTTTCTAGTTCCTGACTTCGGAGAATAAGCAGAGGGCAACATTTTCCCTCAAAATAGGGGTTATGGAGGAGAGAAAGAATTGTCTTTTGGCCACTGTGAGTTGAAGCTGCCTTGAAGAATGACCATGTTGAGATGACTTGTTGGCAGTTTGAGATTTATTTGGATTTGGAGCTCAAATGAGAGGGCTGGACTAGAGATATTTAGCCAGAGCTCATCAGCTTCTAGATGATAATTAAAGCCACAGAAGCAGACGAGTTTACTTAGAGACCACGTATAGGGTGAGAAGAGGAAAGGACAAGGATGTAGCCATGAGCAGCACCAACAATTCAGAAGATGGAGGAAGAGGAACAGCAGAAGAAACTGAATGGGTATATTCAATGGTAGAAGGATTTGGAGAGAGAGAGAATTATCTTAGAAAGTTACAGAGGAGAGAAGTTTTCAGAAAGAGAGCTGGTCAGAATAGTCAAATGCAACAGAGAGGACAATAAGTTGAGAAATCTAAAGAATCAGCCCAAGTGCAGTGGCTCATGCCTGTAATCCCAGAATTTTGGGAGGCCCAGGAGTGTGGATCACTTGAGGTCACGAGTTCCAGACCAGCCTGGCCAACATGGTGAAACCCTGTCTCTACTAAAAATATAAAAATTAGCCAGGCATGGTGGCACATGCCTGTAATCCTAGCTACCTGGGAGGCTGAGATGAGATCACTTGAACCTGGGAGATGGAGTTTGCAGTGAACAGAGATCACACCACAGCACTCCAGTCTGGGCAACAGAGTGGGTGAGACTCTGTCTCAAAAATAAAGAAATTTAAAGAATCCATTGGATTTGGCAACTGGGACTCTGGCAACTTTTGCCAGTGCAGTGTGAGGGACCTATTGCAGAGGCTTGAAGTGCTAATATAAGATAATGAATGAAGTCATGAAATAACTGTGGTCTGTTCTGAGGAACAAGTTTCTAAAGTCTTCTTCTGGCATTTGCAGAGTGGTCAACATAAAGTCAGAATTGCATTACAGTATATTCAGGCTACTTTTGTTAGGAAAATGGTACTTGGCACTGCAAAGGTCCCAGCATTACAGGAATTTTCTGAATGTATGGATTTTTGAGGGGAAAGAACATGACTTGACATGACCTGCCACACATTTATTCTTTGTAAGCTAACATGGAAAGAAGGTGTGTACACGTGCCTCCATTATATGCCTTTCTGGGGTGCTGAGAAAAATGGATTTCATTTGAACTTGAATGGGAACCACAATCTACCAATGAGAGTGCATTCACAGTCTCTGTGTGTTCACAGCCTCTCATTTCATCTCCAAGAACTACTTTATGATTCTTCTTTATCTTATAGCAGTGTCGGCCAAACATCTCATCACTACGCTATGCAAGTGAGAAATCAAGGTAGTGTAACAAGCAAGTCACTTCTCGCTGGACCTCACTTGCCATACCTGTGATGTGAGATAACCTCACAGGTCCCACCCAGATCCAGCATGCCACTTGAAAATGAACTACAGTTAGTCCAAAATACCCAGGGTATATTTCGGAAGTAGCAGATTTACCAAATGCTGCATCATGAATTTCTTAATACATTCAAGCCAGGCCAGGGAGAATTTGGATGACTCTCATGGGTTTCAGGATGTTGCTGATGCTTTTCAAACCCTCCAAGTTTATTTGAAGACATGTTTCATTTAAGATAAACAAACATAAAAGCAACAGACAATTCTGAAAGCTCTAATGATCTCTACAATCAAAGTAAATGAGAAGGCTGTAATAATCTTTTGTTCAAGAAAGAAATACTAAACATGCAAACACTTAACATTGTATCAGGCTTAATACATAGAAAGAGCTTTAATTTGAACCCTCAGATCTATCCACAGCAGGACTAAGTAAGACCTGTGGAAACAAGAAGGTCCCATAGCAGCTGATGCTTTGCAGCCAGCCATCGTCACTTAGGTAGAGGAGGAGCAGGGACCACAGTAGCGTGAAGTGTGGCCAGCCCACAGAGGTTGTCAGCTGTGGGGATGGAACTGTACCTGTCAGCATGCCTTCATCCACCACACAGCTGCCATCAATCAGAACGGCATCACACGGCATTAGTACTTTGTTCCCTGTCAAAATTAACAAATCTCCAGGCACCAGGAAACGTGATTCCAGCTCTTGAACTCCCGCTGAAAGTGTAAAGAGACAGGGTTGAGTCAGGTTATTTTCCCACAAAAACATAATCCAACATCTATTTAACTTGGATATCAATGAAAAAGCAACCAAGGCTTTTTTTTAAAGGGGAACATCCCTCAACCTTGATTCAAAATTTGAAAACAAAAAGAAAAAAAATTTAACAAATTAGGAAATAAAATAAAAACCTTTGTGTGGCAAAATAATAACTAAAAAAAACACTAATGACAAATTCAGAAACAAATTTGAAACTTACATTACATATAAAAGGTTAATAGTCCCAGCTGAGCACAGTGGCATTGCATTACAGTATATTAAGTATATTACAGTGAATTGCATTAAGTATATTAAGGCTACTTTTGTTAGGAAAATGGTAATGATGCCTATAATTCCAGCACTTTTGGAGCCCAGCGTGGGAGGATCATGTGAACCTAGGAGTTTGAGACCAACCTGGACAACATAGCAGGAGGCTCATCTTCACCAAAAAATAAAAAAATAACACCTGTATCCCCAGCTACTTGGGAGGCTGAGGGAAGATTGCTTAATTTTGTTGTTGTTGTTGTTGTTGAGATAAAGTCTTGCTCTGCCACCCAGGCTAGAGTGCAATGGTGTGATCTCGGCTCACTGCAACATCTGCCTCCCAAGTTCAAGCCATTGTCCTGTCTCAGCCTCCCAAGTAGCTGGGATTACAGATGCCCACCTCTGCGCCTAGGTTATTTTTGTATTTTTAGTGGAGATGGGGTTTTACCATCTTGGCCAGGCTGGTCTCGAACTCCTGACCTCGTGATCCACCCACCTAAGCCTCCCAAAGTGCTGGGATTGCAGGTGTGATCCACTGTGCCTGGCCCAAAGATTGCTTAATTTTAGCTAAGGAGGTTGAGATTATAGTGAGTCAAGGTCGTGCCACTGCACTCCAGCCTGGGTGACAGAGCAAGACCCTGCCTCAAAAACAAAACAAAACAAAAAAATCCTAATACATAAAGAGTTCCTTTTGAAAAAGAGATCTCCAGCAAATAACTGTATAGCAAAATTGCTAGATATTGTCACTTCACACACACACACACACACACACAAACACAAGTGGTGTGTTAAGTGTCTACAAAGCTGTTCATTCTTACCCATGATGAGAAAAATGAAAGCTCTTCCTCCCTTTCCGATTGCCTGCCTGCCTTTACTTCTTTTCGTCCTTATTCAGTCTTAAAGCTATTAGGGACTATGCAAGATAGGCATCCCTGCAGGGGGCTGGGTGGGGTGGGCTTGCAGCCTGCTCTGGGGTACTGAAGCCTAAGCAGGTCAGAAGGGTGTTTACATGGCCTGGTACAGGGTGTCAGAGCTTAAGCAGGGAGAGAAGGGCCTCCATGGTGGCAGTGGCCTGCTGTGGGATGTTGAGACCTGAGCAAGGAGAAAACGGTTTCTACGTAGGAGTGGGATGAGAGGCAGTGGGAGCATCAGCGGTGATAAAAGATTGGTTGTATCCAGCAGAAACGGTACAATCAGTACAGTAGCCTCCCTTGATCTGCACTTTTTCACTTTCCGTGAAATGCAGTCAGAAAATATTAAGTGGACAATCCCAGAAATAAACAATGTATACTTTTTCAGCTGTGCACCATTCTGAGTGGAGTGATTAAATCTAGCACTGTCTGCTCCATCCCTCCTGGCACAGGAATCCATGCTGTATACACTCCCTGTTTATCATTTTGTCAGTCACCTGGTTTTTACATTGCCTGATGCAGCATTCCTGTGCTTGTTGCAAGTTACTTTTATTTTATTTATTTTACTTGTACCCCAAAGCACAAGAATAGTAATGCTGGAAATTCATTATGCCAAAGAGAAACAGTAAAGTGCTTCCTTTAAGTGAAAAAGTGAACATTCTCTACTTAAAGAAAGAAAACAAAATTGTATGCTGAGGTTGCTAAGAACTACAGTAAGAACAAATCAACAATCTGTAAGATGTGAAGAAGGAAAAAGAAATTTGTGCTAGGCTTGCTGTCGCACCTCAAACTGCAAACGTTACAACCACAATGTGTAAGTGCTTAGTTAAAATGGTAAAGGCATTACATTTGTGGATCGGAGACATGAACAGAAATGTGTTCCAACTGACAGTGATCGGACTCAGTACTACCCGTGGTTTCAGGCATCTATATGGTGTTTGGAATACATCCCCTGCAGATAAGAGAGGATTACCTTAGATACACTGAAGTTAATCAGCCAGGTTTTTCACTGAAGAAAAGAAGTTACAAATAGATAAAAGAGACACAACTACAACAAGCCCGTTAGTAATAGATTCCAATTAAAAATATCAATGTACTAGATAGAAATAATATGGATGTAAATTTGTGTGATTATAAGAATATATACATATGTTTGCTAGTCTTCTTGTTTATACACCAACAGTAATGAGCACATCCAGTGTCCAAATTTTGGTTTCTACATTCCCTTTCTCCTGATAAAAGGGGTCCCTTAGAGAAAGGACTGAGTACAGGTTAGGCCGAGAGAAGTATAACATATGCTAGAACATCTTGTTGTGCCATTAAGTAGAGAAATGCTCACAGAATGATGGGGACATATTACAAAAATATCGAAGCCGACTTTAAAGGGTTCTCATTGCCTAAATTTGTAACAATTTGAACATCAAAGTAAATAATTATAAGAAAGAACTATAACCATCAAATAAAATAGGTATTTATGAGTTCATAATGATATAAGTAAATGAATAAATAAATTAAGAGAAGAAACAGATTTTCCTTGCAGCAAAATGACAATTAATTAATGTAGGAGGAGAGATAACATTAGAAAATCATCATTTGGCAACTATCAAAGTAATAATTAATTTAGCCAAGAAACATCAATGTATACTAAAACTAGTGAGTGAAAATTTGATGAAGATGATTTATTTATATCATCTCAAAGTGTCTCTCAACAAAATAACCATTAATTACAAAGAAGAAAAGAATAAATTTGCAATGAGGAAAACTGGCAGACATCATTTAATTAATTAAGTTAAAATCACCAGTAATAGAACAAATTGAAATTATGTATCACCTGAGAGGAAGCAGTGAAAACACAGCATCATATCTGTGATATTCCAGCCAAAAATGCATAACCTGAATTTAACTAAGAGGCAACATCAGACAAATTCAAACTGGAATACATTCTTTAAAATAACCAGAGGCAGAAGAGTGAAAGTCACAGAATTCAACTAAAAGTGGAAGATTAAAGAGACATGGTAAACAAAAGCATTGTGTAATCCTATATCTCTTTTCTATTAGAACATTATTGAGACAATTGGCAAAACATGAACAAGGTCTGACCATTAGTTGGTAGAAATTTGTGAATATTAACTTCCTGATGATACTGCCCTTCAAGTAGGAAAATGTCTTTGTCTTTAAGAAATACACAGTAGACCCCATCTGTGCAAAAAATATAAAAATTAGCCAGGCATGGTGGTGCACACTGGAAGCTGAGACAGGAGGATGACATGAGCCCAGGAGGTCGAGGCTGCAGTGAGCTATGATTGCATCATTGCACCCTGGGCAACAGAACAAGTCTGTATTGATAGGAAAGAGAAAGAAAGAAAGAAAGAAAGAAAAGAAGGAAGGAAGGAAGGAAGGAAGGAAGGAAGGAAGGAAGGAAAGAAAAGACAGAAAAGGAATACACACTAAAGGTTATTCAGGTCATCATCATGGAGCTACATGTCAGCAAGTTATTCTCAAATAGTTCTAGAAAAAAAGTTATTTAAACTATTCTTGCAACTTTTTTGTAAGTTTTAAATTACTTTCTAAAAAAAGAGACATGTATTAGATAACATTGCTCACCTTATAATTAGAAAAATGTACAAATTTTCCAGCACATTCTATTGGCAAGATTGTGGGGAATCAGTCACTGACACATTTCTGGTGCAAATGCAAACTGGCATAATCTCTATGGAGAGAAATTTTGGCAATATTTTTCTAGCAAAAGTACATATGCACTTATTTCTTAACCTAGCAATTTTACTTATCAGAATCTGTATCAAAGATATACTGGCAAATATGAAAACACATATGTACCTGTACAAAGCTTTTTATTACAGCACTATTTATAGTAGTAAAAAACCGAGAAAAATTTTTTCAATAGAGGATTAAGTGAATAAACGATGGGTCTCTCCACACAAGATAGTACCATGCAGCCGAAATGATGAATGAAGAATATCTACATATACTAAATAGTCCCTGGGAAACACAGTTACATATGGAAACTATACACAGCAGGAAATATGGTTAAATATTCTTGACATACCTCTATTCATCTAAAAGAAGAGCAGTATAAATATATATCCTATTTTGTATGTGTAATATACAGCTATGAATATTATATATAATCTTTTTATATTTTTAAATGTAAGAATAAATAAAAACCAAACAAAAGTGATGATTATAGAGAGAATGAAGACATAAGGCAGAAAGGAGAGGGATAGGAACCGGACTGCCTTGACTATCTTCTGTCTTATGGATTTGACTTTCAAACCATGTAGATATTTTCTATATCTATACAAAATAATACAAATATAAATTTGAAAAGCTAACAGTAAAATCTAAAGCAAAAGGAGCGAAATAAACCTATCAAGTTGTTGGCATAACCAATAGAAAACTATTTTGAGTGACTTTAAAACTAAATTTTTGAAAAATGTATAATTTGTACATTTCTAATAGGATGTCACAAATGGGAAAAAACAATTCTACAAATATCTAAAATTGTTTTTGGGAATTATATTAGTGCTGAGTGCATTGGTTTGTCACTCTGAGATTATTATATACAATGGGATAAAGCAAAAGAGTAATCTCTTCCTGTCATTAAAAATCAGAACTTTTGGTATAGAGAAAAGAGAAACACAAGTACAATGAATAAAGTAAAGTAAAAAGCCCTTCGTTCTAAACTTGAATTGGAAATTATGAGGTCAGTGTGAGCATGAATTCTAAACTTTTATTGGAAGTTATGAGGTCAGTATGACCTCATA